CGACAGAAACGAGACGATAACGTTTCTCTCGGTAACGCAGAAATTTCCTCTCCTCTTTTGATGTAGAGGGAGGTGTGTATTATTCAATTCACGTTCGCACTTTTCTCCCACTCTGACTGGTCATTGTCAGCGTCAGGGTAAGAGCAGGGAACGTTGATAAATGTCCGTGCACTTGTCGCGACCCGGTATAAATAACAGACGTACGATTCACTGCAGTTGAAATTCTACTCTTATACCATATTGAATTTTAATACTCTGTAGATAAGATACGAGTCAGTAGTTACTTATGTAATCTCTGTTTAACTTTTTTTTTATGCGTACACGGAGTCGCGCGCGTGCTTCTGATTAACGTTCCTAATCGGAGGAGAAAATACCATCATGATGTGTGAAAAGTTGTCCGTGTTGGTGTTTGGATTATTCCTTGTGATTTTTGTAACATTTGCCTATCAGGTAAGATTGAGACTCGAACTCCGAACTTGAGAGTTTTCCAAAAATTAGTAAAACAATTCTGTGTCTAAGAGAGAAAAGAAAAAATGGAAAATCTGAATGAATCGAGAAGGAAATAAATAATTTAACACTCTGATAAGGTGATTGAGAATATCTTAACGATTGTATTCAATTTGCTATTGGTATTGAATAGGTGGAAGATCCAGAAGACTCTTCGAATTATTATACCGCAGCGGTGGTTGAATATACACCTGTTTACAACAGGGGCAATGGTCCATTGACTTTAAAAGAGAACGCAGACGCGTACATCAAATACATAGAAGAAGCGAGCCAACACGTAAGTCTGCAGCCTTCGGACGTTATCGGTTGTTCGATGATATTCATTTATATAATGCGGAGAGATTTCTCGAATTGATAAATGTCTACGGTCGAAAATTCCCTGTAGGGTGCGGATATTATTGTATTCCCGGCAAATGGACTCACGTCAACTTCCCTGCCGGGAAGGAAGCAAATGGATTCATGGACGACGGTGATCCCTCCCGCACAGGATGAATATGTTCCTTGCACAATGAGTGACGTCAAGGGTGTTAGTGAAGTAAGTATATGTATATAGAAATTTCTGGTTTGAAAAGGCCATAAAAGTCAAACACACACATGCAAATGTCCATTAGTAGTAATGGATAAGCAGGAAAATGATTGATTTTCAAAGTATGTTTATATTAATGGCACTCGCTGTATAATAAATGTCCCAATTTTGGTTCACATCATACTTACTGCTAACTGACTTATAATTACAAATGAAAATAAGTCAGTAAGTAGAAATTGTTATGTGAAATTGTGTCATTTACTATATCTCTGTATGTTTCGTGTCTCAAAGGAAAAGCTTGTTTTAATCAACAGCCATCTTGTACCTCGTTGCTCCAAAGAATATTTCAGTTATCCTCAATTCGAAACGATTCACTGCGTTTAACTTTCACAGACACTGACGAGACTCTCGTGCGCAGCTAGAAAAAATCGTATATACGTGGTGGTGAACATCGCCGAAAAGAATGGTATATATTATCACAATACCAACGTTGCGTTTGATCGAACAGGAAAGATAGTCGCTAGGTAATGTTAGTATAACTGTCTATCGATTGCGATTGAAGTATTTTTTCCTTGATACGGACAGGTACCGGAAGGTGAATCTGGACGGAGAACTGTCGTTCGACAAGCCGAAGACACCGGAAGTGGTCACATTCGACACCGACTTTGGTGTAAAATTCGGTACATTCATATGCTTCGATATATTATTCCCTGTACCGGCTCTGAACTTGACGAGAACGCTAGGCGTTTCGAACATCGTATATACAGCCGCCTGGTGGTCGGAGGTGCCTTTCTTAACAGGTAAGCTAAGACAACAAAGTGCATTTAACAGTTGTGATTAGAGCAGCAGATTCTTGAAAATGTTGTCTCCCTAGCTATCCAAACGCAGTCAGGATGGGCCTACTCGCAGAATGTCAATCTACTAGGAGCCGGGTATCATTTACCGGAATTTGGAGGCAGCGGTAGCGGCATCTATTGGGGTAATGCGTTTTAAAATTGTATAAAAATGATCCATTCCTTTCATCGTTATTTCGTATCCAGGTCGTGGTGGATTAAGAAACGCGACGATGACCAGCCATCCTAAGCATCGACTTCTGATCTCTCGAGTCCCAAAGAAACCGCACCCGCAAACGTTGAACGCGGACACCGAAGGAGACTACACGACGACGACTCATAACTACATAGCAGCTTCTCCAGACGCGCAAAAAACAGAGGACTATAATGGGATAAATATGTTGCACGATAACCTCACATCGTTTTCATATGTTCAGTTAAATCACACGCAATTCACCCAGACCATTTGCCAGAACAACCTTTGTTGTGACTTCGATATTAGTGCAAAGGGCATCGATTCCACGCCCGTTAATTACCGCGCTGTAGTTTTTGACGGAATTCGACGCTACGGACATTACATGGACGGCGGCGTTCGTCTATGCGGTCTGATACAATGTGCCAACGACTCGATAACTTCTTGCGGTTCCGCTAAGCAGACGAATATTACTTTTACCCATGTGACTATTCGAGGGACATTCGGTGATGATTATTCAAGTACTGTAACGTTCCCTAGCGTGCTGAATCCTGCGTTATTGCCCTTCGATCACTGGACGTTCACCGAGAAGCAGAATGGCAACGAAACGAACGTAATTTTGTCTCTGACACAGCCTACATCGGATCTCGTGACTTTCGGTATGTACAATAGAGTCTTCAGCAGAGACAAATGGTATCGCATTTGATCCTGAGCTCACGTGCCTTCCGATTGATACAGCATGTATTATGGTGTATACGAATTATTAAATAAAGCTTGAAGATAGCAACAGATTTCGTTAGTCATTTTACCGATCCTCTTTTTCCCTCGACGATGCGATCTCCACTTATGAAAACGACCATCAGTCTTGTGACGCATTATTTAAAACATTATCACGCACACAGCGAGCATCTGCACGCATCTCAGATGCTCCAATTTGCTTTTTGAAAGGGGTAGGTAGGGCCTATTGCTGGCAACTATACTCAGACTATCTTGGCCACTCTCTACTCAGAAATCAGCGCGCCCCTTTGAGGCGCCCATTTTTACATGCTTTTCCGACTACGGCACTGGTTTTCACGTGCTGACCACTTGTCTATCACCTGTTAATATCATAAGTCCTGATACTCATTTATAGAAGCGCAGATTAATCAATCGATCAATCAGACGATTAGTTACAACATTTCGGTTTCTTAAATACAAATACTTTCTTAAACTTCTTTCTTAAATCCACCTATTCGTGAACTTGGTACACATCTTGATCGATCACATCGGTTCCTTTATGCAGACGAATACTACTTTTACCCATGTGACTATTCGAGCGACATTCGATGAAGATTATTCAAGTACTGTAACGTTCCCTAGCGTGCTAAATCCTGCGTTATTGCCCTTCGATCACTTTACGTTCACCGAGAAGGAGGATGGTAACCAAACGAACGTAACTATGACTCTGACGGAGCCTACATCAGATCTCGTGACTTTCAGTATGTACAATAGAGTCTTCAGCAGAGACAAATGGAACCTCCCTTGACCCTGGGCTCACATGTCTTTCGACTGATACAGCATGTATCGAAGTGGTAAATAAACTTTGAAAATAACAACTGATTGCGTTGTTCATTTTACTGGTCCTCTTTTCCCCTCGACAATGCGATCTCTGCGTATGAAAACGATCGTCTGATGTAACCACAATAGTGAAACCGTTTGAGAAAAACATCGTCACGCACACAGCGAGCATCAGCACGCATCTCAGTTGCATCAATTTGCTTTTTGGAAGAGGTAGTTTGGGCCTATTGCTCGCAACTATACTCAGACCTGTACTATTGGTCACTCGCTCCGCAGAAATCAGCAGATCCCTTAGGAGCATCCAGCTTTTACATGCTTTTCCCTACATCTTACACTTTCGACTGCAGAACTCCTTCAAATACTGCCCGCTTGTTCCCTGCGACTGTCCCTTGCAAGTATTCCTTTAAAGTGGTCCTTCAGCTTCCTCGTAGGTCTGGATAACAATGGCGACTTCTCGGATCCGCGAACTTCGTTCTAATTTGAGTACACTATTCTACAAACGTTCAACTAACATTTTATGTAAGAACAAAATGAGTCTTTTAAAAGTTGTCAGACTCAGAGGAATCACCGAGGACATACGAACATTTGCCGGAGGAGGGGGAGCACGTTCTTTGTCACGTTTGACTCTACGAACAGTAATTGAATACGACAGAAACGAGACGATAACGTTTCTCTCGGTAACGCAGAAATTTCCTCTCCTCCTTTGATGTAGAGGGAGTTGTGTATTATTCAATTCACGTTCGCACTTTTCTCCCACTCTGACTGGTCATTGTCAGCGTCAGGGTAAGAGCAGGGAACGTTGATAAATGTCCGTGCACTTGTCGCGACCCGGTATAAATAACAGACGTACGATTCACTGCAGTTGAAATTCTACTCTTATACCATATTGAATTTTAATACTCTGTAGATAAGATACGAGTCAGTAGTTACTTATGTAATCTCTGTTTAACTTTTTTTTTATGCGTACACGGAGTCGCGCGCGTGCTTCTGATTAACGTTCCTAATCGGAGGAGAAAATACCATCATGATGTGTGAAAAGTTGTCCGTGTTGGTGTTTGGATTATTCCTTGTGATTTTTGTAACATTTGCCTATCAGGTAAGATTGAGACTCGAACTCCGAACTTGAGAGTTTTCCAAAAATTAGTAAAACAATTCTGTGTCTAAGAGAGAAAAGAAAAAATGGAAAATCTGAATGAATCGAGAAGGAAATAAATAATTTAACACTCTGATAAGGTGATTGAGAATATTTTAACGATTGTATTCAATTTGCTATTGGTATTGAATAGGTGGAAGATCCAGAAGACTCTTCGAATTATTATACCGCAGCGGTGGTTGAATATACACCTGTTTACAACAGGGGCAATGGTCCATTGACTTTAAAAGAGAACGCAGACGCGTACATCAAATACATAGAAGAAGCGAGCCAACACGTAAGTCTGCAGCCTTCGGACGTTATCGGTTGTTCGATGATATTCATTTATATAATGCGGAGAGATTTCTCGAATTGATAAATGTCTACGGTCGAAAATTCCCTGTAGGGTGCGGATATTATTGTATTCCCGGCAAATGGACTCACGTCAACTTCCCTGCCGGGAAGGAAGCAAATGGATTCATGGACGACGGTGATCCCTCCCGCACAGGATGAATATGTTCCTTGCACAATGAGTGACGTCAAGGGTGTTAGTGAAGTAAGTATATGTATATAGAAATTTCTGGTTTGAAAAGGCCATAAAAGTCAAACACACACATGCAAATGTCCATTAGTAGTAATGGATAAGCAGGAAAATGATTGATTTTCAAAGTATGTTTATATTAATGGCACTCGCTGTATAATAAATGTCCCAATTTTGGTTCACATCATACTTACTGCTAACTGACTTATAATTACAAATGAAAATAAGTCAGTAAGTAGAAATTGTTATGTGAAATTGTGTCATTTACTATATCTCTGTATGTTTCGTGTCTCAAAGGAAAAGCTTGTTTTAATCAACAGCCATCTTGTACCTCGTTGCTCCAAAGAATATTTCAGTTATCCTCAATTCGAAACGATTCACTGCGTTTAACTTTCACAGACACTGACGAGACTCTCGTGCGCAGCTAGAAAAAATCGTATATACGTGGTGGTGAACATCGCCGAAAAGAATGGTATATATTATCACAATACCAACGTTGCGTTTGATCGAACAGGAAAGATAGTCGCTAGGTAATGTTAGTATAACTGTCTATCGATTGCGATTGAAGTATTTTTTCCTTGATACGGACAGGTACCGGAAGGTGAATCTGGACGGAGAACTGTCGTTCGACAAGCCGAAGACACCGGAAGTGGTCACATTCGACACCGACTTTGGTGTAAAATTCGGTACATTCATATGCTTCGATATATTATTCCCTGTACCGGCTCTGAACTTGACGAGAACGCTAGGCGTTTCGAACATCGTATATACAGCCGCCTGGTGGTCGGAGGTGCCTTTCTTAACAGGTAAGCTAAGACAACAAAGTGCATTTAACAGTTGTGATTAGAGCAGCAGATTCTTGAAAATGTTGTCTCCCTAGCTATCCAAACGCAGTCAGGATGGGCCTACTCGCAGAATGTCAATCTACTAGGAGCCGGGTATCATTTACCGGAATTTGGAGGCAGCGGTAGCGGCATCTATTGGGGTAATGCGTTTTAAAATTGTATAAAAATGATCCATTCCTTTCATCGTTATTTCGTATCCAGGTCGTGGTGGATTAAGAAACGCGACGATGACCAGCCATCCTAAGCATCGACTTCTGATCTCTCGAGTCCCAAAGAAACCGCACCCGCAAACGTTGAACGCGGACACCGAAGGAGACTACACGACGACGACTCATAACTACATAGCAGCTTCTCCAGACGCGCAAAAAACAGAGGACTATAATGGGATAAATATGTTGCACGATAACCTCACATCGTTTTCATATGTTCAGTTAAATCACACGCAATTCACCCAGACCATTTGCCAGAACAACCTTTGTTGTGACTTCGATATTAGTGCAAAGGGCATCGATTCCACGCCCGTTAATTACCGCGCTGTAGTTTTTGACGGAATTCGACGCTACGGACATTACATGGACGGCGGCGTTCGTCTATGCGGTCTGATACAATGTGCCAACGACTCGATAACTTCTTGCGGTTCCGCTAAGCAGACGAATATTACTTTTACCCATGTGACTATTCGAGGGACATTCGGTGATGATTATTCAAGTACTGTAACGTTCCCTAGCGTGCTGAATCCTGCGTTATTGCCCTTCGATCACTGGACGTTCACCGAGAAGCAGAATGGCAACGAAACGAACGTAATTTTGTCTCTGACACAGCCTACATCGGATCTCGTGACTTTCGGTATGTACAATAGAGTCTTCAGCAGAGACAAATGGTATCGCATTTGATCCTGAGCTCACGTGCCTTCCGATTGATACAGCATGTATTATGGTGTATACGAATTATTAAATAAAGCTTGAAGATAGCAACAGATTTCGTAATATATATATACATATATATCGAACTTCGTTTATAAAAATGATCGCATTCACCACTCCATGTACATAACACGTCATTTATGGTAGACGTGCTGGAAAAAAATCGCAAGTCGCGTGATACGCGAGCGGCGCGAGGGTGTGCCATAGCCATAGCGTAGGGCACAGGAGTTCGCAAGGTGTGCCGTAGTCGAAAAGGTGGGGGTGGCAGGGCTTGAGCTCTAATACGGACGGAGAACTGCGCGGCGGTGAGGGGTTAGCAGTCGCGAAGCAGCAGTGCGTCGCGACGCTGCCTGCCACGCGGTTGTTGCTTCTCTCCTCCTATTTCAACTGTCTTTCTCGCTCCCGAGCCAACTATCTAAGCTCGCCGGCTAGACGACTAGACGCTCGCTGAACTCGCGGCTGTCTTCGATTCTCATCCACCGCTTCGTATCTACGTCCGAAGTTCTTCCACGTATTTTCCTGCATTCACCCCGGTTTTCTTATCCGCAAATTCGGCCTCCCACCCTCGTTCCGCTCTCTGTCCTCGTCTTTCATCTCGCTGGAAGCCTCGTACCGAAAACTCCTGAACGTTACCTCGACCCACGCACCCTCTTTCTATCTTCCTTTCCACACGGATCATTAACCAATGCTCTTCTCTCCGCCACGACTCACCCCGGCACTTGTCCGATCCGTGCCGAGTAAACTTTTTCCAATTCCAAGTCACCCTTTCTCGTTCGTCGCGGTCTCGTGCGCATAAACACACGTGTAAGATACGTAAATACACACACAAACACACACACACACCCACACACGTATGAAACGATTTGGAGGAGCGATCGTTTGACGGCCAAGGGGAAGGACAAAGAAGAAGGAAACGAACACGCGCGCGGTGTCCAGTGGTACGCGGTTCTCTTCCGGTTACCGATGCCGTTCATCGGAAAAACTGTTCCTTAAGTAGCGTGTGTTTAGTAAACGAACGACAGAGGAAGGGTTCCCTCCTCTGTTCTGGTGAGTATCCTGTATCCCCCTCCTCCTACCCTGTTCTTTTCACGATTTCTTCTTCGGTTTTGATGCAACGCACGGTAGATCACTCTACAGTATATCTATACATCGCACGAATCCACTGCATCGTGACAAAAATCCTGTTTCACTAATAGAAATCCTTTTTCTTGGCTGCGAATCGAGCGTTTGTTAGGTATGGCAACTGACCTTTGAACCCACGAATGCGTACTATTTTATCCTTTATGCGAGCAGGTGGATAATCGGATTTTGGGATCAAAACGCCAGGAGAGATCTTTCTAAAGGTCTATCTACACTAACCTAACGTCATCGGCACGTAGGTCGTAGGACGTACGTTCGGCAACGTAATCAGTGCTATAGTCGTTAGGACAGAGTATAGAGAAAAACATGTAAAAGCAGGGAGTTCAGAAGCCCATGTTTGACATCGAATCGACAAAAAAACCATGGCTCACTTTGCATTTTACCAAAGGAAATTGTTATTCAGAAACACTTCTCTTCGGCTCTAACACTTTTTCTGGGACACCCTGTATAATACTAGATAGCGAATACGATTTGACAATGTTTAAGACAGGCAAATGATTTCTAGTTAAATCTAGAACAGTGTACAAATATCCTACGTCCATATCTTCAGTTATACAGATAAAAAGGAAAATGTATAATCTGGTAATATCTAATCATGACACAGATTGCTTTTCGTACAAAAATAACTAAAGGCGACCAAGTTATGCGCTATTTCCTGAGGCGCAAAAAAAAGTGCTTCAACTGCTAACATCGTATAGTTCGCTTGAAATTTTAGTATCATTTGGGTCATTTTTGGGAATTTTTTTTAAAAAAAGTATTCCATGGAACTTTTTTAAACTTTGTAGATGTATTTGCCTATAAACGAACTGTATAAAATAATTTTTTCGTACAAAAATAACTAACGGCGACCAAGTTATGCGCTATTTCCTGAGGCGCAAAAAAAAGTGCCTCAACTGCTGACATCGTATAGTTCACTTGAAATTTTAGTATGACATTTTTAAAGGTATAAAATTTCGAAAAATGGAAAAGAAAGAATTCGATGGTTTTTAAAGTTTCATACTGGTGAGGCCCCTTGACAGAACCTTTTCTATTTTGAATAATCGGTATCCGTGCAGTTAATAATATCCTTCAGTGGGTATAGCGGATATCTAATAATACTGATACTAATGCAAGGGTGCAATAATAGACATAAGTAAATTTAAAAACGCTAGAGATGCACGTAGACATTTTTAAATTCTACGATGGGTCATCGATGTTTTTACCTCTAACCGTCGACCGTCGATGAGGCTAGGGTCGGCGTCAACCGACACGATGTAAATAAACGAAACTGTAGTTACACCGTGACGTGTCGCCGCGACGAGCAGAGAATCCGATAGGAAAAACCTATCGAACGATGTTTGTCTGCCGTCGTTGGAATGTCTTATATCTAGATATGTATAGTGCATCGGTCAAGGTTACTATTTGCTATTGGCGTCGGGGCTGAAACGATCCGGGTCATCTCCATGAATAACGCGGTTCGAACTTTTCTTTTTTTAATACATAACATACACACACGTACATACACGTGACTTCAATCGAACGTTCTTTTAAATGAACCCTTCATCAGAATCGTCCGACGATGGCCAGAGCTGCCCGCAGCAACCACCTAGTTTGTAGGTTACTAACTACGTTAACTAAATGGCGCTCGGTCCGAAAGCACCAGAGGTAATTAAGTAGATTACCGGTACTCCTTTAACTTGTCGATGGTTGATGCAATTTTCAAACTGCCATCCGTTGAAGGTTACATGCAATTTCGATGGGAGGAAAATATTTTTAAACAAACGTTAAACACGTTTAGCAACCCTTTGGGAAACCCTTGCATTTCATGTTTCACATCATTTCCAGTTGGCTCGTTTTCACGTTGCTAACCTGTCTTATGTATGCAAAATGCTGTCAGTTATCATTGCGGAACGTACGGATTTGAATTGTCTGCGAAATTGGATGGCTCACACTCGTAAATATTCCTCGGGTTGGTTTGGAATGCGTTATATATCTGCTCTTTCATGGTACACGCATTTCGAACAAATAGTTTGACGGCACGATGAACGAAGGAATAAACAGGAGAATGGGAACTCGTTTTCAAGACCGTTTAAAGAGAGGAAACTTTGCTCGACCTAATTTCGAAGCTGAGGGGAAATTCGGTAAATGGTCGTTGAATTTTAAAGCCGGCCGAGCGGCCGGCCGGCCTTTCATGCTACTCGAGCCTCGTTTGCGACGCAAGAAATAAACTGGACTCATCCCGGTCTCGAAAGGCAGCGTGCCCTTCAAAATCAGCCCTCGTTAAGGTGAGACGCGATACCCGGGTTGGTTAATGGAAAGAAAAGCTCAGACGCGGTTCACCAACGACAATCGATCGTTCGTCAAATGACCTCCTCCTTTTTTCAATATTTAATTAACGCGACAAATAATAATTCTTCTTCGTCTGGCTTATTAAAAATCCTGAATGAATCATTTATTTCGTAACGGAAACCACAGTGGTTCGAAACTGCCTTTTGGTGGAAAAAATTTTACAAAAGTTGGTATTCTTTAGTTTTTGAGATCGCTAATTTCATATCTGAAGTAAAAATTCAATGATTTGCATTGGAATAACGAGAAATTAAACAATATTTCGTTTGCAATAATACTTTTTTGTGAATAAAATAGTTTGATAGCATAAATGAAGCACACAATTGTCAGTGACTTAGAAAATGCATATTACAAATTTAAATAGGATATAAAAAAGAGAATAATTCCACTTATAATTATATGTATATCCATATTTAATATTGATCTTCAATGAGTAATGATATTACATTCTCATGTAAATCAAAAATCTTTTTCAGCTCTGTCCTTATGACACTTTATAATAAATTTTCAATTATGTATATCGAAAAATTGTTACTCTGAGATATTTGATTTTTAACATTATAATACATTATTGTAATAAAAGACACGACATAGTAATAGTAGTATAATAATAAATCATTTCACCGAAATCAAATAGTGCATTAAAAAATGTATATATCTACATATAAAAAATATTGACCTATAATAGAAGTGAAACATTCGAAGTATCGATGAAAATTAGAAAGGAAATGCTCTCAATGTCAAAACCGCAGGTTTACGCAGCTAAAACCTATTTGGATATAAACTTTAAAGTGTGTTACAATATTTAGAGTAGATTTGACCTTGACGCAAATTGTCGCAAAAAAGTTACGCTTTAATTAAACTTTATTTCAATGACTAAAAGTAACGTTCTTTCAAATTATGTTTCAGGGATATAAATGAAGTTTCCATTAACTATATATATGTTATAAGTCATTCATTAGGAGCATAATAGAATTCCAATATTGCATTTTTATTAAATTTTTCAGATAGTTCTTGTAATCGCTTTTAAGTAAAAATCGTAGGCTTCTTACTTTTTAACTTTCATACCATAACATTTCAACAAATAATCAATATTTATAAAAAAAAATTATACATTTTGCGTCTTCAGATATTCTACTATGAAAGTAAAATAAATAACACTAAAGACTACTCGAAAAAATGATTTTTTTCCACTGGTGAGGTACTAAGCAACGTCCAGTTACTGCCTTGTCGGATTATTATTATAATTAATACAATAATCGATTAGTAATCGGATCAGTGAATTTTGAACGTGCTCGATTAAACGTTGCCGCAGTCACGATCGCAGCGATAAAAAGGTAAAGAACGACGGCGGACCGAGACCCTAAGTATTGGCATTTGGGATCTAGAGAACTAACGTGAATCCCGAATTAAAATGAACGATAGTTCCAGCTACACCGGAATTGCGGCTTGAATATTATTAAAAGCGGACGGTTTATTATGCTCGCGTGTTATGTCGCGAGTCCGGTAGACAGTAGATAGTACAATAAATCATATTTATTTTGTCGTTCTGGAATTCGTTAATCGGGTCAAAGCGAAACTCGATCGTCATCTAAATTAAATAGAAGCTCCGATCGAAAACTCAGCTGTTTCCACGCACACGTTCTGCCTCTAATCATTTTTGTTTTCGATAATTACATAATTAAGCTGAGTTATCCCCTCGTTATCATAAGGAAAACTGGAAACGGCGTTGCGTCAGTTGCGGTGCTCCGGGACTCCTGTATCTGGGTCAGCGCATGGAACACGAGGGTGTACCGCGTGCTGCGTTCACATGACTGATATCCCATGGGGACATAGTTACATGCCTGTTTACTTACCTACGAACGTAAAAAGCAATGTAATCACGTGTTTCGCTCGCGGGTACGGAATTATATTTACGGGTAGTAATAAAAAAAGGGTGGCCGGGCGGTAGGTGGGGGGGTGAACGAGGTAGAGAAGACAGTGGGCGGGCGATGGTAATAAAAATAGAGGAAAGAGAAGACAAGGAGGGCGAGAAGTCTCCACGGTATTGATTAGCCGGAAGGAATATACGTAATATTTTCCCGCGGTGATAATCGTTCGTTTCGTTCCGTCTCGTTTACCGTCCGTACGGCGTAACGATGAGTGACTCCGACCCGTTCCGATCCAATTGGGATGTAAGTTTGGATCGTCTCAGAGGGAGGGATGGCATCATAACAGCTCCGAAGGGCGATCTCTTCTCTCTCTCTCCTGAGATGAACACGATCGCAAAGAAATTGATTGCCGTTGTTGTTTATTTCTAGCTTGTCCTCGACGGGTACCGCTGCCCCATCGCTCGTAGAAAGTCGTGAAACGTGCGAAAACGAGAGGAGCGAAGGGAAGAATTTTTATTTTTAATACCGATTACCATCCTCGCGACGACGACGTCCTGTTCTCCTTTTCCGTTCTAAACAGTTTCGTAGCTGCTGGCAACGTTTCCATGAATACGTGATTAGTAATCGTGGTCGACCGACCATTCGTCAATACTTCCATTCCGTCGCGTAGTTTTCTGCACTGAAAACCACTCGCTGGCAATTAGAGATAGTTCGATAAGTGTTGTTGTTAAGTTACGGTCGCGAGTAAATTGTAGGGACGAACAGTGGCCGTTCGGATAGGAAGTAGTTCGTCCGTACTGTAAACTGCCTAAACAAACGTTGTCTGTTATTAAAGGTGGCTCGGGATGGAGCAGACGTACATAATTTTAACGGCGATCCTTGTGACGATCGCTGGATTCGCTGTATTGGTGATCCTCGGCGTGGCTGCGTGGTTGTATCTACGCGCGAAGAAGTCCAAGCAACGGAACGGGAACCTGACAGAGCAGAATGGCCACGGGGATAATTATGGCGACGACCGGAAGCCGGCGAAGAAAAACGGTCTGTTGAATCTCAGGACTCCGTTGATTAGCACAAAGTCTTTCGGGTAAGCAAACAACTCGACGACTATCCCTAGTTTATCAACCGATGTCGTAAACACCAAGTTTATACTCCATTGAACGGAAGTTCGGTAATCCCGGAAGCCAGCAACAGATTTTTAATGCCAGTACTTAAACGTGGGGGTGGTAATAAAAGAGATTTAGAGGCAGGGAGGGCCAAACGAGAAACCAAGAGGCGAGAATCGATTAAACTGTCGGTACAGTAGATCGTGACTTATCGCCGGTTGTTTATTACCGACCGACGAAATAGTTCTAACCTGGGCGGTTCGCCTACTGCGATTCGTACATGATCCAACGGCAAGCTCGAGCTTACCGACGACGGGGAATCCCGCTCGAATCAACGCGTTCTCCTCGCAATTCGAATTCGAACAATCGATCGACTCCCTTCCATGACATGTATTTCGCAACAACGATCAATAATCCCTTCCATTTGCCTGATTTTCAAACGCAGTTCACCGACGATGCGATTCGGAGACAGGACGGAGTCGATCGTCGCGACGACGACACGGAAATCGATCGATTTCCCGTTTTAGCGCCTTGCCTCCTAACGACGCTCTCTTCTCTTCTTCTCGATTGAAGCTTCGGTTGCGTCTCGTCGATGCTAAGATGTACCTCTTCGATCGGGGAAAATGCTATCCGATCGACACGATGCGAACGTGTTATTGCGCGCGCAATTTTCTCCTACACGCCTCGGAGCACGCGCGCGTTTTATCGAATCGATGTGTTAACGGATCCGTTCAACGATGCAGACACACGTTCTCTTCAGTTGTAGAAATGAACAAGTTTAACGAGGTTTGCTATTACAAAACTCGATTGTTCCCACCAGAGGCCGCGATTTCATTACTTCTCACATGTCGTGGGACCCAGACACGAGTCCTCAGACTCTGCCAAATGGTTTCTTAGGCACCTCCTCAGGGACTAGTTACGATTTTCATACAGCGACTGAGACTGTACACGAAAATCTCGTAGATCGTTTAATTTGCGGTAAGAAACCGTTGATATCGATCGGGTGATCGTTATCAGAGACAACGAGTGGCGGAATAAGTGGCCAGAAGTCTCGTGAACTCGATCGAGCGACAAACTCAGTAAAAAATCGCAAACGACGAGGAACTGAAGAGGTGACGCGTTATAAATCGTGTAATATCCGATGAGGTGCCAATTGGAACGTTGCCAAGTGGCTCTGCTGTTTCGTAGCACTTAAATCGACGAAACGCAACAGATATGCCACTTGTTACGTTGCATGCATACGTAACCCAACTTTCTTCTGTATCACCGCTATACGTATATACCAAATAGCTTATGTTACTTATCCTTGTTTCGCGTTGTACGAACGGGAAACCGAGAAGATTCGGATCTTTGCTTCGACTAGATAAACGATGGCGCTATATCATGCAATGCGCCTGACAGATACATTAAGGCGACGTTGTACTAAACTAATTTATATCATCACGTTACCAGGCAACAACCGAAACAATCCATCTACTGCCTCTACTGTCTCCCATATTTTTATTAACACTAGAAAGACTGAAACTTATTGCCTAAAACCCATATTGCCCAAAACCAGTAAAAATGACTGCATTGTGAAAGAATAATGTGTAAAGAAATTTGTCTAAAATTAATTATTATTATTATTATTATTATTATTATTATTATTATTATTACTATTGTTATTATTATAATATGTCTGATAGTAACGCGTACTATGCGGGCTGTTATCTTCGGATGAAATAGCTATGATTAGAATTCGTTTGACCGGACGGTGGAACGTATAATGTACAATAACGTGTGCCGACGTATTGTATGACTAGGTCGCTACGAAACGAGGAATTGGAACGTCGAAATATTCTAATATTCGACTGAGGGAAAGCGGAGATATAATAAATGGAGATTTGAATACGGCCCGGTCTATTGTAGGCGATCTTTTTATACCGTGACGGATAACTTTTAATTGAAACGTCAGGTTGGTAATAATGATACATCGAATTGCAACGGAACCGTTAGATTACAATTGTAACGGTGATATGGAAAAAATGGCGGACCTTGAAAAGGTACGAGTAAATGATAGCGTTATCTAATCTTAATTGCGGCGATTAAGGATGCATTTATGTGGGAACGGGCTTAAATGAAACAGTATATTTTGAGATCGTCGTAAACGAGTGTTGAACTTATGTGGGTCAGTCAGTAATCACCGACGGTAGCGAAAACTAATAAACAGATAATCGTGCGAGATAAGCGACGTGGGGAGACGAAAGGACATCGAGACTGCTTCTGAAGCTGTCAGGACTGATCGTAATGTTAATGAGCGAGAATTCTTTTCTTATTTTTTGTTATCCGCCGGAATCGACGTGTAACGTGACGCGACGTTGATTTCTAATCTATAGCTGGCCCGAAGCGAGAGGCCGTTTCGGTACCGCGGGAAGAAAGAGGAAGGAGGAGGAGGAGACAGATGGATGAAACGGATCGAAAAGCGGCGGCGTGACGCGATCGCGAGGCGAAGCGGCGGACGTCCTCTCAGAGAAATATGAAACGGAAGTGAAAAGGAGATGGGAGAGACGACGGGCATCGGAGCAGGGAAGGTAGCGTGGGGTTGAAAAGCGAGACGCGAAGCAAGGGCATACACGTCGACGATGTAGGATCGGTCGGTAAAGGGTGGTCGAAACGGCTGGGCAGCAGGACGGAGGTATATAACTGGTCCTGGCGGGTTAGGGGTGGCAAAAGCCACACGAGAGGGTGGACGAGGGAGGTTAGGGGGGGGCGAACGGTTGGCGAGGGGCGGGAGACCGATGGTGGTGGAAGAACGAGCGAAACGGGGGTAGCTACGGGAGTACGGGGCGAGGAGAGGGGGCAAACAGCGGAGGGCGACAGGAGCAGGTGGGGGTTTGGTCATAGGGGTAGCGGTAGGATTCCGGGGGTTGAAAGCAGCTGAGAGCAGTGTACCGAGTAGGTCATACCACAGAGGAGAGAGGTAGTTCGCGTTTAGCAAACGGCTCGTCCGTTCGGTTAGACGAAACGTATAATATACCACGTTTGATCGATTCGTTCTACGCTTATTCCATTCGCATATTCTCTCGAGCAAAAACACCTTGCCTCCGACTGTCCGTCACTGTTCTCTGTCGATCCTGTTGTGTAAACCCGTGGTAGCCGTCGTCGATCGTCGTCGTCGTCGTCGTCGTCCACGGCGTCCTCGGCGTCCTCGGCGTCCCCGTCGTCCTTGTCCTTGTTCCCCGGAGCGACGTGATCGTGGATCGGGACAAGTGGATCGAGAACGTTGAAGAGCGATGGCTGTACATCTTCGCCGTGTCTACGAGGAATCAGTCGTTGATTAAGACCGATCGTTCACCGGTTTCCAACGAACCCAAGTTCTCGGCACGCTCACGGTCGATTTCGCGTTCGGATAGATATGCTGTGTCCTCGAGATAAGTAGCCGCGCGGTATCCGTCGAGTCCTCGTCTTTGCTAAGACATTTCCTGTTTCCTGTCTCTCTCTCTCTCTTTTTCTCTACCTCTCAGCCCCGTTCCCCGCTTTTTTCACCCGGTTGCCGGATTCGTCGAAACGAACGGAAAAAGAAAGATTAAAGTGCACTTACTTACTACGCAACCTCGCATTCGATCAGCCGATCTGACGACGGATCAGACGTCCCTTTGACCGAACCCCGAAGAAACCAAGGTAACCGAGTGAGCACGAGCTTATGGGGAAAGTTTGAGGAAACGATCGACGTTATGAATTTATTAAAAGACGACAACGGCCGTTAAGGAAACGGCGAGAAGTGAGAGAGGATCGAACTTATAGAGTGGAAAAAGTAAGAGGGAGAAATCGAGTGGAGTCGAGCAATTCCAATTATGGTTAATTAAAAACGTTATCGAACTCGATTGAAATTATTGCTCGATAATTGTACTTGTTTTAGCTCGACGATTTCACGTTTAATCGTTTTTAACTCGATCACCAAATGGTCGTTTATTCCATCGATCATTACTGATATTTGAATTTACACAGAATCGATCAGAGTCATTTTTATATCGGTTTATCGATCGATCCTTTTTCGTAATTAGGCTTCTTTTTTTTTTTTTCGATCGACGTCCCGTAGGACACGTTGCTCGATCCCATCTCCCAGTGAATCGTGAAATCGATTGTACGTTCTCCCACTTTCTTTTTCTCACAATAAGAGGAGTACTCAAATTAAGAAGAACAGTACTCGAAATTAAGGAACGGTGGAGGACATCTAACAACGAACACCGGCCTGGTAGCTTAATAAACGAAGAACGAGGCTTCAGCAAAGGCACGACGGCGCCGCGTAGACGGATATCAGGTAATAGAGAAATGTAAGAAGAAAATAGAAGAGAAGAAGAAAATTGATTCGACTGGATCGCGATACAGATTAACCCTTCGTAAGCGAGGGAACTCGGGAGATAAAAAAAAAGGGATCGCGATCTACGCGACGGGCGAACGCGAGGTCGATAGACAGGAGGAGATCGTCGCCGAGGAACCGAGGCACGATCGAATCATGCGATACGACTCGATGAGAGACGCGTTCGAGGCTCGCCGAATCGAAGCAGGAAAGGGGGGAAGAGCGCATAATTGTACGATCATCCGAGAGGACTTGTAACGATCTTTCATCTAGCTCTCTTTTGAAGAACCAAAGAACGAGCGGCGGCGGCGGCGGCGGCGGCTGCAGCAGCAAGCAACAACCTACGGAAGCGTCGCCGATCGATCGGACCTATCGAGCGTGTCCGATTTGATTCACGGCGATCGACGCAAGTCTCACGGGCGCCTCGATAATACCCAACCGTGAGAGGATAAAGAAAGAGAGCGCGCATCAACGGATAACTTCTAATTCCATTCTCGGTTTTCTGGTTCGCGTTAACACAGGGGAAAGTACACACGATCGAATATGGAAATCTCAGCCTCTGCAATGTTGGATGGCCTGAAAAATAATCGAATCAGCAAGTTGGCACTGTCGCGGTTCTTGTCGCAGAGTCTGTGAGTAAATTAACTCGGCCGTTCGTCGAGCACGTATAAATCGATTCGACATGGTACAAGTAACCAGGATGCTAGAAAGCATCGGCACGTAGCGCCGCGCACTAATTGATTGCTTGGCTTCTTTATGCTTCTGTCGCGATTACATTCATCGGCATATTTAGGCAATTAGTTTCACACGCGCCATGTTTATATTCGTTTATTTATACCCCCTTTTTTAATTTTTCGTTTTACTTCCAGCTCGAACACCTTGCCACCCCTTATCGGCTCGGCCATTTTAAATCGTTTTAATATCGCGCGCGATCTTTCAGCTCGCGGTGTCTAATCATCGCCCCGTCCCCACCAGACGCACGTATCCAATTGCTTCCGCAGACGCGCGAACCATCGTTCTCCACGTTCGTCTCAAATACAATCGCCTAATCGCTCCCAGTTGCATTTTCAATCATCTCGTCATTCAACGTACCTTTGAAAACCCGCGCACCCAACCGTTCCAATTCAAACTTTTGCCATTGGCGGAACAACGCTCCAACTTCTATTCTTCGTTCTATACACAGACACACACATATATAGTATATATATATTATATACTGTGTATATACTATATATAATACATACTATATATATATATATATTACAAATACGACGCGTCTATTTTCAGTTGTGCTCCCGATCAGTTTTCTATTAAAATTTCATTTTCAATGAGACGCATGTTAATAACGCGTGCGCACAAAACACACTTATGTACCTCGTCTAGGTTTAAAAAAAAAAAAAAAAAGAACGATTCCAATTTGTTGTCGACGCGACCAACGATTCACATACGAAGCATTCCCCATTTTACTCGAGTAGTCGTATATCTAGTTGTACAGTTGAAACTTGATTATCCGATGATTATCTCCAGTTTTGTATGAAACTGTATCATCGTAGAGTGTTGCTTATAGCATTCACGGGACGTAGTTTGTGCGTATCACGTAGTAGTGTAAAAAGTTGTTTTAGAGAAAAGTTGTTTGAGGCGCACGGTTTGTAAAATGTTAACGATAGGAGGAGGAGGAGGAGGAGGAATAGTTGACGACGATGTGAAATTATAGTGACGATGTACGAGGAAAGAGAAGAACAGAGTGAGAGGGAAAGAGAGGAAGAGAGACAGGGTGAAGGGAACTGAGGAGGGGGGGGGGATATTAATTTGCAAATTGCACGGATGTTTACAGAGTAGAATTAGTCGATGAAAATGGTTCGTTGTTGATTGTATCGCGAATTTTACTCGGAGCAACAGCCAATCCTGGCGACACGTGCGATTTCTTATTTCGCGGATCCACTTTCGTGGGGGAAAGTTTTCTTCTTCGACGAGATTACGCGCGGTACTTTACTACCGGATCTACCCCCACCACGGACCAACCACGGCGTTTGACATCGGGCAAAATTCATTTTTAACGCGACACATCGACGCGGCCGAAAGTCGTACGTGACAAAACGGTAGATACAAACCCGACGCGATGTGCAATATGTAACGAACATTTTCCCGTAGCGAATCGCCGGATTATTATTAGATTTGGCCATCGCGATACGTGTATCCGACTCGTTGAAAGATTTATACTGTGATCCGGAATTGGAACCGGGAGGCATGGCGTCTAAGGCGAGAGAAATTACAAAGCGAGGAATCCGCGAAAAGGTTGTGACACGACTTTAAAAACTTGATGAACCGCGTCGACGGGGAGTAATCGAGACAATCTAAGTCCTCCGCGTTTCTGTCCCTTCGTTCAATTTCGATCCATTCTCAAATCCAGGCTAGTTTTACTAACGAAAATCATTTTTTTGTTGCAATTTTGTGAATGTTCGTCTGTTTTCAATAAAAAAATGTAAATTCAAGCATTACTGATTAAGACTTGGGGACGCAATTGCGACCCCTGATTTATTCTTGACTCCCACCGATTATCATTTACCATATTGTGTGGCAAAGGACAAATCGAATTGGTAGAACGTGCAGTGGGCGAATGCTGATAAGTGGATGAGCTGAGAATCATAATGACGGAAGCCAGTACGTGTATGATGCTAGTGAATCATGATTTCGAGTCGAGGCACGGTCCCAATTTTCGGGATTATTTCAACACTCTTCCCCTCTTCGTGTTAAAACATCAAACGTGAACATTACATATACAGGAAGAGTCACCTAAATTCAAATATCTTTGTTGTTTTTAAAGATTCGTCAAATGTTTTAAGAATAAAGTTGAATGGTTCAGTGGGATTCGCACGATACCAAAACCATTTTTGTGGTTATGTCGTTTTTTTTTAGATATGGTCACCTTCATTTATTTAAATGGAATTTTTTAAACTCTTTCATTAGGAATTCAGTGATTATAATTAGTCAAGGTCATTCAAGGACAGAGAG